TGGGAGCAAGTTAAAGGCTGATACATTCAGATTTAAACAAACAATCAGACTCAAAAAAGACAAAAACAAGTGTCTGTCCGTCTTTCAGTCATCTATACTTTGCAACTTTCCCAGCCTGGTAAATGGTGTATTTTTTAGCACTACTTTCAGCAGCGGATTTATGCATATTTGGTGCACTTGTGAATCTTAGAAAATACACCACCTGTGACAAATGGTGTGGCTTATTCATGTGTTTTAATAGTTTATTGACAACAGTGGAGGTCAGTGTCACAGAAGAATAAGGTATATCAAACTTTTTACATTATTCCTCCAAAATATTATTATTGGATGCCTTTCCTGGAATTTCAGGGCTTTATGGCAACCATATTGTGAAGAAATTATCTCATGAGGGTAAGACACACTCAACAGTACATTCAATGAAAATGGGCAGTACATGTAAGTTTAACAAAGGACAGGTATACATATTTAAATGCACTTAAAATGACCTTTTCTGAACACATTAGACTAAAACTGCTGTTCCATCGGACTTGTTTTACAGTAAACGCTTTTTATTGTTGTATTGAATCTCAATTTCATTCAACATGCAACAACAACCTGCATCATATTCATAACAGCTCTTCGCAAACGCACATGCATGCACACACACGCGCACTCAAATGACAAATGTTTTGCTCTGAGCTGAACACTTGTGAGGTATTGAGGTTGCACAGCCTAATATTTGACTGAGCAGTGTTCTGGCAGCAGTAAACCAATGTGCTGGCATTGTGCTCCCCGCTTACATAACGTTGTGTTTATACGCCCCCGGTAGATCTGACTTATTGGCTGCTTGGGATCTCTGACAATAGATAAAAATAGGATTATTCCCTCCCTTTATGATGGACAACCATCATTCTTTGTTGCCCCAACCTGCCTATGCTCAGTTTCCCATTATAATATCAATGAGTGAAAACAAAAGGCAACATTAGGCATTCTTAATCCCTTAAAGCTGTTTCATGTAATTTAATAAATAAGCTGCTCCTCTCTCTGCTCCGCTCTCTTACCCCCCACCCACCACTGGGAAATGACTCATGCATATTTCAGCAGTGTGTCTGCCCATTCTGAGTGGAGCTTATCGTGGCTGCATGCAGACGCCAAATCAACCCTCTTTTCCTTTTCCTCTTTCTGTCTCTCCCTCATTCACCCCTCCGACGCCCTGTTCTTCATCACTATTCAGCATTTCAGAACATGGGAAGAAAGAGCGAGAATAGAGACGCACATCTTAGCCTCATGAAAACAAGCTCTGTACACCTTTTCCACTGAAGTATCTGCTTGCTGTTGGCATTCTCAAACACACACATTTATTAACTTCAACTGGAGGAAAAAGTTTGTAGAGTCAAAGTCATTGAAAGACATGGCATAGATCAATCACTGTTCAATATGCACAAATCTAATGAGCAAAACCTTTGAGGGTGAGTGTGTTTTCTAACTCTGAGGATATTCCCACATTCAGTAAAGTCATTAACAAACATAACAACAGTCTTCCTTGCATGGTTTCGTTGCAATTTTGGGCATTATTTTAATAGTGCCAATTGCTAAAATGTAAACAAACATATTAAAACATGAGATTCAAGTTGCAGCCCACAGCTTACTTATGATTCCATGGTAACATTACACTTTTCGTTTACATCCCTCAAAAAAAATTTGTGTGAACTGTTGTTCCAAGAATGTTTTAGCATGTGTCTTTACCACAGTTCTAATATCCTGGAACACTGTATCCATTCATACACAAATATTTGCCCTGTCTCAAAAACCTGTGAACATATAGACAAAAAACTTAAAGATGTATCTGTGAGAGGTGCATAGTTGTCTCAATTTTCTAAAGGGATTATAGTGTCTTGCTCAAGGACACATCAAAATTGTTGTTGGGATTGCCAAAGTGTCCTGTGTTGTAATGCTGGCAGATCACCTCTGTGTACTTGTGGATAACCTTCCTCTTCTACAAACCCACTCACCTTCCTCTCTTTACAAGAGTTGTTTACTGGCTTTTGATAAAAACTCATCCATAAATATACACCTCAATTTGCACTTCACCTTCAATTTCATATCATACAACCAGCCATATTCCTGACAAACTCATCATCAGCTAATCATGTTGGAGCAGTTACTGCATATGAAATTATTTTAAGATGTGCATTGGCCAGGACGGACTGACAGCAGTTTATATGCGGAACTAGAACCAGTGTGCAACTCTGATAGGCAGCTACATGGTGTGCTGCTGTATCGGCCTGATACCAGGCTGTGTCTAATATGGTGGGGATTGACTTCCTCTTGCTGGCTTCCAGGTAGTGAGGGGGATTTAAACTATTTTACCTCCCCAGATCTTCACACCTTCCCTCAGGCCCTCTCACCTCGGTGCCTTAAATATTAATGGTAAATCGGAGGATAGTGGATGAGTGAGGAGGGGAGAGGGCTGACAGCTTAATCATGGAGGCAGCAGCCTCCCTCTCTCCTCTTTCCTAACGCTGTGGGCGGCTGTCACCACGACCTACATGATGTAATCACCTCCATAACCCTGATATGGGCCACCAAGGGCCTTGCAGGGAGAGATAGAGAGACAGAGAAAGGGCGGGAGGGGGGACCTTAGGGATATTCCAGCAGAGGATCATTTAAAGTCAAAACCCACAGAGAGTAACTATAGAGTCATAAGGATAGTTGAGGATGGAGGAGACGCTGCATAGCTCCAAAAATAAAGGCTTGACCCCTCTACTTCCTGGCACAAATTTGTACATTTTACTATCTATGACCACAACTCTCCGACACTTAAATACAACCTAAACATAGAGGGAAAGCTATCATTAGAACGTTTATTGTTGCTACTTTTGCTTGCAGTCACCATACAACACAACAGACATTAGTATTTACTTGTTTTTCTGTCATCATCTGTAGATCACAACTTATTTATCTTGATTTCTTTACAGATATTGCTCATGAAACCATTTTGATTATCACATTACCGTGAGATATCATAGATGGCATTCTTGAGGGTAATTCTTTTGCTGGATTAGTGATGATATCGCACTTCAAAATCAACTCATACTTGAAAGTTTAGTTTTCAGCTATAGCTAATATCATTTATGTGGTAAATGGTAAATGGGACCTGTACTCTGTATAGTGCCTTTCTTAGTCTTCGACCACTCAAAGCGCTTTAACACTACGTGCCACACACATTCACATAGTGATGTCCATCCAAAGTCCATCGAACAGAAACTAACATTTATACACATTCACACACCAATGCACATCGGGAGCAATTTGGGGTTCAGTAACTTGCTCAAGGATACTTCGACATGTGGCACCGGGGATCGAACCCACAACTCATCTCTGCCTCTGAGCCACAGCCGCCCAAGTATGTGTACTTGCTCTGTGTTGCTGCTGGTTAGTATGTACTTAACACTTTGAACCCAGGTTTATGGCACAGTGTCTGCATATGATGGTGTGAGCAGGAAGTGTGATGTTGCCATAGAGTCAGTTACAAGCTATAGGCCACACCTCAGGCCTGTTTAATTAAGCTAAAGTAGGAGGATATTTTCCTATACAAATACTAAATCTGGGAGAATCAGCATCATGGCATGTCATGGCACACTAGCTTAGTAATTACTATTCTGTAAGCATCAACTAGATCACTTTTAATACTGAAAGAATTCTAAACAGATATCAGAGACTTCTGATTGGATGCGATTATTTAATTACTTATTTATTAATACTACAGAACGTGATAGATAACAATTTATAAGATATGACACAGCTCAAACTTGAAACCACAAGCAGTTACCTCATTAAATAAAGAACTTTATACTTGACATTTTGAAAGACGCTACATAAAAGAAGGTTAAAGCCCCAGGCATTATCCTGACAATATACCACAGATGGGTAACCCTTATATCCTGGGAAAATGGGGAGTTAAACATAGCCAAACACAGACTGAACACAGTCAGAGTAAGAGCATCCCACACAGTGGGATAGGGTCTGCATTGATCCTGTAATTTGTCTCCATCTCAAATTGGGTTGTGCCGTATTTATTTTTAAAGTATGGAGACAAAATGGAGATGAACAAAGAGTCAGCCAATTCTGCCTTTGTTGCTCACTATATAACAAGAAGACATTTTCAGTCAGTCCTTCAGGTATTCTGACAGCAAAGAGAGGGAAAGGTTTTGATGCAACATGAAGGTTTTGATATGAGGATGTTACAGTTTGTTGTCAGCACATCTATATTTCATTATGCCAACACCTTCAGTTTGGCACTTGCTGCTGTTTCCAAAGTTTTGATTTTCAGCTGGACAAGATACAGCTACAGAGCTGGAGGCACTTACTGCCAGAACAAAATGGGAATACCCCTTTGGGTAGTTGACTGGCAAAAATACAGAATAAGGTATAGTACATTCAGTCATTGTTTACTAGTAACTGAAAAGGCAACTGGAGGTAAAATGGAGACTTGAACATTAAGTTTTTGCAGTAGGAATGTTTTTTTTGTTTTTTTTAACTCAACTATACTCTCCTGAAGATGGAAAACTGAAGGGATGGCAGATTGACATGTTTTTATTTTTTGAATATGGCCAGTTAAGGTGGTGGTCAATCTATAATTAATATGCATACAATATAGTCAAAATATTGATATTAAATGTTGCAGTTTGCTTTCTGAGCAGGGGGTTGGACAGATGGCCCTAAATAGACACAAACAGGATTAATAAAGGATTGTTCGGGGAAGATTGAACAGCATAAGAGACGCCTTCTTAGAGACCATGGCTCACTATCTGTCTTCAGGTACAGTATATCCCATGTGGAAAGAGGAGGCTGAATAAAAACAAGGATGTGAATATGAAACAGACCACTGCTACCTGTTCTGACCTGTTAAAATCAATATAATTTAACTCATTGATGCAGCACTGGCCATGCATTTTGAAAAAGGCACACTGGACAGTAAGGCCGAATGCAAAAATCGTGAGCAGAGTAGCCCTTCTTACCCCGTTTATAGGATATGTCTTCCATCCAAGCTCTCCAAGCACAGACGTTGTATCCAGCAGCACAACTGAAATGGGGAAAAAAAAGGAGAGGGGAAAATACAACCATTAGCAATCTGTCAACACACAAAAAAGTCCTATTTTCACACTGGAAATTGAAATATCAGTCATAAACGTGTTCATTTAGACATTTTTTTATATTAACAGAAATGACTTTCTCGGATGAATATTTATGAGCGTAGCAGCGTATACAGTGGGAGCAACATTTTTCCCACTTGCGACACAATTTGGCGACTGATGGATTGCAGTCAGATTGCTGTCAACAGTCCATTCCCTCCCCAGTCATCCCTTTCTCTCATCCGCAGTTTTACTTCAATCTCACTCACAACAATATGCTCTTCTGCCTATGACCAAGACGGTTCACAGATGGATCTGTCCTCAACCCTTCCTAAGCCATGAGAATGTGTTTCATTATACCAAATATTAATTAATGTCTTGCTATGGTTTTTCTGTATGTAAATAAGCACATTTGTATTGCCTTTTCCCAGAGTTTAATATAGAATACAATGATATTAATCTTGGGATAACATAATAATATCATTGTCAGTTGAATCTAACCTTCCAGGTAGTGTTAAAGCGAAGCAATATTACTCTGGAAAATATTGCCATTCTTGACAATATTTTGTCTCGCTCTCAAGGACAGTAGATTTAATAATTCAGGAGGAAAGTGTCTCTCCCAGCGACAAGTGATTTACAGTGAAAAGTAGCAGATATGGCTGCCTGAATTTACCTTCAGTGTGATGCCATCAACATCACTGAATTAAAAAATAAAGTTTTTTTTACCTACAACATTAGGGAATACACAGTAGACAAAGATCCAGTCACATTTTCAAAATCTATAAATATTACATGGAGCTCGTCCAGTCACCTTGTCAAATGTGCCAAATGCACAGTATGTGTGACAATATAGTTATGTCCTAATTGTGTGTGGAAAACAATTGGTATTCAGTGTGAGGGCGATAACTGGCAGAAGAACAACAACACTAGACCCAAGAGGCTTGTTTAAAGCCAATAATTTCTCTCACATGCTACAAGTCATCATTGTTGAATCTCATCATCTGTACCCAAAAATGTCATCTTCAAACTTGTCCTTGAGCAGCCATTGACTTAGATCTCAAATGTTAAGCTGTGAATCGCACATGCTTAATACAGACACTGATTTCTCACAAATTGTAGTGTAGTGTTCTTCTATGTGGATAACGACTGAGTTTTAAGTGTCAGTCAATCATGAATGTCCATTTAGAGATCTGTAAGTGGTCCTTGGGGGGGCTCATTATGCCAACACAAATCTCTATCAGTGACAATTCTTCCTGAATAAATCTCCATTAACATAATTGCTCTGGGAAAGCTGGTTATTACAACTAAATGTATATCAAAGGAGGTAGTAATTCCAGAGCTGATGTACCTGTATTTGCGAATTACAATGTAAAGGCAAAAGAAAAGTGATATTTGTATCTGTGAATATACTCTAAAAAGATCAAGGCAAGCAGAAAGGAAGAGGGGACTTTTTAAAATCTGTCTGTTCCCCAGTTATGAGCCAGTACACCTCTGATGGAGCCTGGTTGGCAGAGATTGTCCAAGCATCTGCTCACCGAGGTTTTCATTGTGTGAGCATGTATGTGTCTGTCAAACAACTAAATGCTTCTCTACTTCCACTCATCTCCCAGAGACCTGCTATGGGACACACTGCAGTGACACAACACCTGTTTTGGATCGAGGCAAACGGCTATATCACAACATCCAAGAGTTAAGAAAACCATCCAGGATATGGGACCCGTGTTGTCTGAGTCAACAAATGCAACACAGGCAAAAGATACAGGCTGATGCTCGCAGTGCCGGTGTGGTTGTACAGCAGACAAATGTATACAGAGAAAGAGAAAATAAGATTCCTCCTTATTCTGTCACTTTGTGTCTCTGTATGGGTGAGGTGCTCTGTAACATATATTGTATATTTTAACATAATAACTGCTGCATGATGTACAAAATATCCTTCTCTAAAATGCAATATAACCCATTTGTATATCAACAGGAGAAAAAACTTCTTTAGATTGAACTGCGACTGTTATATCTCTAATGCATTACAAGACCAATTATAAAACATCATTTATACACACCTAAACACATTTTGATCATTAAATTCTAAAATATCATACAATTGCTGCTGCCATAGTTCTTATATAAATGTTGTTTTTCATTGTAGGATACAGGGACTGACATAGGTATTTTCATTGAGTTGCTCAACAGAAAAATGAGGATTTGTCGAAGCTCATTATAATTTTTAAAACCATAAAAAATATCCAAATGAAGTACTTTCTTAAAGCTGTTATAATTTACTTTTACTTTTCGGCCACTAGCGGCAGCTGAACAAACTGTTAACGCTGCATTAACATATCACCATTTTAGTTAATGTGGCAAACTTGTTAGCAAACAGTCGCCGTTGCCTATTTACACATCCAGCAAATATGGAGCAACATCAGCATTCTTTTAGAGTTATGTTTCCTGCCACTCTGTTTTATGGTCAACTCTTAAGGAAAGATTCTGGCTCATTAGCCCGAAAATGCTCCACTACATTCACCAGCTAGACACTAACTTTGTCTGCAGTTTGGTGGTTAGGTAGTGTAAAGTTGGTTTATTAGAGCTTGTACAGTGGATTTATTATTATTTTTTGACTGCCTGCTGCATCTGGAAACAGGTGAATAAAATCAAATAAATTGAATAAAAACAGTAAAATTCCCAAAACAATGAGCTGAAGGATGCTAAAACGCACTGAAGAGCTGAGGTGACCCGCAGAGCTGGGCAACAATTATCTGTTAGTTCATCTCAACAAGAGACATATTTCAAAATTATTAATTACATTATTACATTATTAATTAATACATTATTATTAAATATTAATTAAACATAATAGTGAACTTCAATGTCCTAAATTTACTATTTATACACACAATTTTACGCACTCTAGTCTCATCAACTACTGACATATGTAAGGAGAGGAAAAAGCAATGCGGTGCTGAGGTCATGTTACTGAAGTGGGAGCTCCTAGTATGTTTTTAGGGGGGAGGAAATATATTTTCCCTTAGATTTCAAGGTAACATTATAGAAATGTCATCTGTAAAAATCCATACTATACATGACTGTTGCACAGCTGGTGGTTGGTAAAATAACATTTTCTGAGTGGAAAGGGAGGACACAGCGAAAGACACACTCATACTTTGCAGCAAAAAGTAAAAGACAAGTACACATACTCATAACATAACTATGAGTATGCTAGACCAATATCAATGTTGATCAATACCACTATCTTTTGATTAATGTATCCGATAAACTGTTACTACATTGTGATAATGTATACATTTTCAGGATGCATTTTGCCAAGAATATTATTGGTTTTAGGGTCAACCTCTGAAACAACATTTAGACAATCATGTGACAAAATTGCACTGAATGCCACAGTGAGTACCCTGAATGATTCAATTACCTTCGAATCCCGAAACTGCTATGAGCTTTCTGCGAATAACTAACCCCATTAGTACGACAAACATTCCTCCCCTTATTCTTAACTGAGTTAAGTTTCAGTAAGTCAGTAGGTGGTGCTACCAGTTCTTCTTCTCATTATTCCAGACAAAATGAAAATCTTAAGTACATCCACTCATGAACACCAGATTATATTTAATACTAAAGACTTCACCAGAAACTAACCTTTTAAGAACAGCTAATGCAAAGCATTTAATGAATCCTGTTGTGTTATTATCAGTCTGAGATACATTTGACAAAATGGACATTGATTTATATGCAAATGCAGCAGATTAGTCTATTGATTGACCATCATGTACATCGCAGCAAGGGAATGCTTCATGCTGATCCTTTCATACTCGTCTCCCAAGCTAGCTTAGTTTAATATTTCCTCCATGTTGGCTGGTTTTGGATCAGTTCCAGTGTCTCATTGTGACTTTTTCTGCTCACCAGTGCCAGGTCTGTAACATGTTAGAGCCAGTACCAGGCTGGAGGACTAGCTGGCAATGCCAATGGTGTTAATGGACACCATTAGACTACTGTGGGCAGGTAAGCAGCACAGTCCCTGGAGGACGGCCGAATCACTGAGAGCCGGCCTTGTCGCTCACTGCAGTGAGCCATTTCACACTTCACTTTGCCATAAATAAAGAACAGCTGATGTACATTAGGAGCCAATGTGGAAATGTATCCAGCAGAGAACATTGCACTGTTGGGTCAAAACATTGTGTTTCTAACTTTATAAGAGCTAAGAAAAATAGAACTGATGAAGAGGTTTTATGAAACTTTTGCAAAGTACCATATCAAAGTGTGACTGTACAGAAGTTTGCTTGATTTGTGCAAAAGACAGAACATGCTTTGAAATGAAACACCTCTAGTGTTCTGATTACTGTATTGAAGTGACATTACAGCAGTTAGTTACAGGTATGACCTGACAAAGGCAGAACAGACAGCACCACCAACCAAAATGTCGCTGTGTTTGTGTTATAAAAGATATGGTCACCATTTATTCATTTAAAAACGTAAAGTACAAGATTGCTATAATACAAAATGTAGTTACAAGGTTTCCAGAAGACAACAGTCGTGTGTATGTGTGTGTTCATGTATGCATGTTAGTACGTATTTGCATGTATGTGCACATTTACTGTGTTCTGGTTTGGGTAAATGTCTACTGAGCAGTGTACCCGCAAGTGTGCACTAAAACTGCCTGCGTGTACATATCTATCCATCCTCTCTCTCCCTCTCCCTCTCCCTCTCTCTCTCCATCCCGCCATAGAGTTATCTTTCAGCGAAGCACCCACAGACCCTGCCTGGAGCTGAGGGTCCTTCGGGACTTCCACTGCTCAGATATAAATAGAACATGAGCTGGCCAGCTCATAAATATATGGAGCTCTAGTAGAATGATGACATCTCCTGTCTGGCCTACAACCCTCACAGGCCACACAAACACCTCAAAATAACTACAGCCCTAACAACAAACCCAAAGGCAGTCTCATACAGTGTTACTTCATGTAAATTGGGAGCAGTTTAAGTACTCAGACAACAATGATACTGGATAAAGCATTTAAACTTACAAAAAGGAAAAAAAGTGTCATGAATTAAGAACCAAGTGTGGCTTTTAAAACATTTAATATTATGGATGATGTGGTACATTATATACACTTTTAAAGTTCCTTAAAGGTTAAATGTGGTGATGTTTGAGCATGGCATAATATAACAGTAAATCTTTCTAACCAAGTTGCACTAGTTTCTGTTGTGGTAAAAGATTAAAATTAAATTTTATTTGTATGCAGTAGAAATGTTCTTTTCCCCCAAGACTTCAAAAGGGTTCAAATAGTTCAAAAAGCAAAGCAAGCCTTAGTTCCAAGCAAAAACAAAACCTTTTAGTTTGCAAGCTCATACATTCCCATTCCGGTATCCAGCAAGTCTTGTTAAATGACAAACAACAAACATTTGATGAACAGAGACTTGAGAAAATTGATTTTGGTGAGTATTTCAGTGAGGTTTGCACATTGTCATTTAGTGGCGTAAACACAGTGATGGGCTCTCAACAGATGAGGAGATGATATGCTGTGAAATGGAAATCTGTCCATAGCTGAGGCAACCTGACAGGCATGACAGAATTTTCAACACATCTCCACACTCCACCAAAATCAAACATTCAACGACATAATAAATGTCAGCAAAGCAAATCTTCAAATGTGGTTGATTAGATCTGATATATGCTGTAAGTGTTTTTAAATGAGAGATTAGTGAAGGGAATTCTTGCCAATAATGTGCAATTTAGCCATTCAACACTGGGTCAAGTACTGTTGCTTCAATGTTAAGTATAAGCATGTTGTTGTTGTAGCTAGAAGAGCCCACAGAGTGCAACAGCAGTGTTTTGGACATGTCTCATTTAAAAAAACACTTACTTGCAGATAATTGACAATATCCCCATAACATTACTTTTGGAAGTTTATACTATGATTTTCTACTAAATACATTGAATACACAAAAGCTCCCTGTCATTTTTGGAAGTCATCATGCGATATTTCCCCAAACAACAAGGGCCTGGTCGAAGTTCAACTTTTGTGAACTTTGACCAGCAAAGTCGCAGACTCAAGCAGCAAAAAAGGACTGTGTGTGCGATGGTCACTCCAGCATTTGAGGGTTTCATAAGTCATTGGTGTTGCATTCAATTACTTAAAAGCCCTGCAGACCTACACAGGTGTTTTCACCTATTTGGACTAATTAGACCTATGCTCAGGTTGGAGTTGGTTGGAGAATGATGCTGAGCTCACCAAACTCTGTGAACCAATAATGATGATACAAAGCTAAAGAACAAAGCTAAAAAGAATATTGGCATCATGTCAATCAAACTCAGTCTATGCACATCCACACAGTCCTGAGAAGAGTTAGTCTAATTAGGCAAAACAAGTGAAAACATCAGAGTGGTGGTGTTTAATGCCCTTAACTCAAAATTGTTTTAAGTGTCTGCAAATTGATTCACTTAACATGCTGGGAAAGGGTTCCCCTTGGCTTTGTGTGAAGAGGGAGTTACATGTGGGGGAATGTAACTCAAGTCGACACAAGTCAGGGCCTGACCACCACAGGCTGGGTCACCCAGATGAGGGTGTCTGATGTTAAGACCCAAAACACCTGATGACCCCAGATTCAACAATGACGATGTGTCCAGGTTGCAGCACATGGTGTATCAAAGAATGAAAGCCTTAATAGCAGAATATCAGTCTGAAACCTGCGTGCGTTACATAATGAACACAGATTGCATGTAAGTAAGCACAACTCGTTGTTAATTTGCTAAGATATGAAACAGTACCAGCACGGTCTATTCAGTACCAAAGCTAATTCAATAAATTACATTTTAAAATTAAACAGCATTCACTGAGGCATATGTGCTTCGCATTCATGACTTTGATAGTTATTTTTCTCAAAAGTGAATCCTGTTCACCAGGTGGCCATAAAGCTTGCATGCAATAAAACTCAACAATCATTATCTTAATACAGGAATGCCTTTGAGGAAGCCAAGCTCTTTCTAAATTAACTGTCTCCAGCCTGGAGTCATCTCAGTCTCTCTAGGTAGGCAACCTTTGTGGAAAGACCTTTTATTACAAGTAGCAGCATGTGCTCAACTAATAAGGTACAAACTTAGATAACTTTCATGTGGACAAAACGACATTTTACAGACCTGTTGTAGCTTATGTATACAACTGTACAAATATGGACAAAAATCTTGGTATCTCCAGTGTTAACAACTATTTGTTTTCGAAGTAGTAGTAGTAAATTGAAATGCATGAATACTGAAAGTAAGTGTCCACAAAGTACTGACATGCGCACATACACAAACACACATTGTGGCTTGCATGTCAAAGGTGCAGAGTTAACATTTTTTGTGGCTGCTCTGGGTTGGCTGATTGATTGATTTTCCTTGACAGCAGACTGCTGGTGAATATCTCGTTCATCTACAGCAGTGATGGTAATCTTGGTGCCCTGCGGGTGGTACTAGTGAGAGCAAAAACTTTTATCAGCCCTTCACATAAATCAATGCAAAGAGTTATTGTGATGATGACTTCATAGCTTTTGAGTCTTGCAATCTGTAACTGTAATCAGCACCACCAATAGATTTCTTTCATATTTTGCTGAATGGCTTCGCACTTTGTAAGATCAAGCAGTGTCTTAGTGAGATGCATTTGACCAACAAAAATAACATTCACATGTGGTGCTTTCATTTCACTCATCCATTTTTGAAGGATGGATTGCTTTCTTGATTTTTCACAGCTGAATCTCTGTCAGGAAAAACAATCTGAACATTGTCAGAAGTATGGAACAAAGACATCATCTCCCAATTTACTGGATATGAGCAATCTTCTGCTCGGGGAAAATTCTACAAGGGCTCAAAAAATCAGGTTAGTAAATGAGATTTGTGAATGTTCATTATAATAAATATAGCTGCTGCCGACTTCACAAGGGAGGGAAACGGAGAAAAAAGTGAAAGAAAAGTAAAGATTATGGGAAGAGATCTATTGATGGGGAAAACAGGCTTGTTCAAACCTGGCAGTGAGTGAGTAGAGCTTTGTTAATAACTGTCTGCAATCCCAGCTGGGTTTATGTGAGGGATTGTCTGATATGTTGCTGTGAGGGGAGGCACACAAGCGAGACGCAAAAGGTGATTGGTTTTTATTGTTCTCCTAAAAGCTGACATCTCCCCCAATTTTGTTTGTGAAATCCCCAATCTTGGAGTTCTGTTTGTCTCTGGTCAAAAGCATCAAACTACACTAAAATGCCACTGTGTAATGGTGCTGGGTTTTGTCCCCAGTCTACCTACAATAACACAGTGTATACTGTAGCTGAGCAGGAAAAACGTGTGTTTACCAGTTTTCCTTTTCATGGTCATATGGTGTCTGGATCGTGAATTGGGTGGAAAGGTTGGACAGACACTTGCATTCATTTCCCTGGACATATTGAGTCTCCTCAATAACCATGCATTGCCAACACTGAATTGTCCCCTACAATCAAT